GTTATAAGGTATAAATGTAGGTACAAAGGTATTTTAAGAGATTTAGGAGAGCCTGTCTGAATACATTCATTGAGTTGCACAATGTGGAATGGTGGCACTCTTTCCGTAGCAGAGCGACTTGTGAAGTGTTCGTCGAGGGAAGTACTGCCTTACCTATTTCTGCCGCCAACCAGCAATGTGAACATTGCTGCGTTCCGGTTTCGAAGAGTAAAGGTGCTGGTGAAATTACAGGCATGGAATTTGTCAACTTATGTCTCAGGGAGTCGGGCACAGTGGCAGTGTCCCTCAGATCTTTGTGATTTAAAGCTCTGAGTGGTAATGCAACTGTTAGGGATAAGCGTGTCGCTTCCCAGCAGAGACACGACTTGTTCGTCCCCTCACTTAGTGTTATAATAAAAAAAATCTAAAAATAATATACCTAAATATTAAACTTATCACTAGTGGTCGGATATTCTAATGCTTTTATAAGTAAAGTTCACCTTTCCCTTGAATTACCCTAGAAATGTGGCAGTGGCTTCTTAAAATATATATTTTTCTTCTTGTAAATCCCGGGATGGGAGGCGCGCGTCTCGACGCCGAAGCCTGATATGTTACGGTTTTTATATTTTAAATTACTGTGAACTACTTGAAGTGTCAAATTTACACTTAATACGGTACGATGTTTTCGATAAAAAATTAAATTAAATAAAACACAAAATATTAGTTGATGTGTGAGGTTACACATTTTTCACTTTATATACATAATATATTTTGTAAATTTGATTTAACTATTACATAAATTTACAAACAACCATGTAAACGTTGTTCTTCATCTTCAATATTATATGTCATATTTTCATCAGTTCCAGTGTCGCGGGATTTTTTCAATACAAAAGCACACTCCACGTTAGCGAGCAACCTAGTTTAGGTAATTAAGCATCCATTTATAACACAACACTTATTACATATTTATAATTAGTTACACAACTTTTGTATACCTACAGACCAACAGCGCCGGCGCGCTAGCGTATGTAATGTCCGGGTGCAATCAATAACCCTGGCGCCCTCTAGTAGGCACGCGATGAAAATGTTATATATATAAATATTTTCTTCATATAGTTATATTTTCTTCGGTGATCAGAAATTCGGGTGCAAATAGTGCAATTATAAGTGATGTTGGGATAATCTATACCTAAATAAGCAAGTATTATTCCGAAACGTGTCATTTCTTATTTATTGCTGTTTTTCAAACAGTAAGTTAGCGTTCTCTTTACTTATTATCAATGGTCGGAAAAAGGTGTTCCACATATATAGTTATAGCTACAAGGAGCAACATAGAGTTGTTAAAACCAACAAATATCAATTAATTACTTTTTCGAGTTCCGGATTTCTGGCAATGGTTTTACTGCATCGTTGTCGTACGATGAAACTGGTGACCTAGGAAGTCGAAGTTAGATTTTAAAGTAATTCAAAAATGCAGTATATAACTGTCCTTTTATCAAAATAGAGAATAAAAAAAGTAACGAGAATTCGAGGTTCGAGGAGGGAGGTTGACGCACCGCGACCACAAGCACCGCGCCCCGCATATTGACGGTTACGTTGACGGAACGGCAATAAAGCACTCAGTTATCTACTGTATTTTTTGCACGGCACCATTAGAATTACTTTAAAATCCAACTTCGACTTCCCAGGTCAGTAGTTTATCCTACGATGCAGTAAAAACGTTTCCGTAAATCCGGAATTCGAAAAGTAATTAATTAATTAATTGGTGGTTTTAACAACTGTACGTCGCTCCTTGTAGCTATATCTATAAGTATATATTATGTGGAACACCTTTTTTCCGACCTTTGCTTGTTATTGTGACTTTGTAACGTTTCAAAATGGAGCCATTTGCAAGCTCTAGTTGCGGTGTACCTACATAACATGTCTATCTTTCTTTTACTTATAAAATCTTTGCTTTGTTCGTGAAGCGCCCGTCGATTCCTCATTTGAATCTGTAGAGTACTTTTTAAACGAGTGAAAAAACGAAAATTAATTTTGAACCAATGATTTCATTAGACTCATGTTAATTTTGAATAGGTCGCTACGATGTCTTTGATGTAAAATAAAATTCTGGACCACTGGCCAACCTGTATAATTTGTAACTATACCCACTTGTTGATAACTACACTAAAACTTAGTGAAACGGAGTGTTGAACTTTCCATGACAAAAATATATACGTACATTTAACATATTACGTTGGTATATTCTTTAATATAGTTCGGCTACATTAAAAGAGATCAAACAGACAAGTGAAAAAAAAGACAAGTGACAAAATGAAAATTTTTTTGTAGCAGTAGAGCTCCTTGTGAAAGAGTTCGTCCAGGGTAGTACTGCCACCTTGCCTATTTCTGCCGCCAAGCAGTAATATCAGCATTACTGTGTTCCGGTTTTGAAGGGAAAGAGTGCTGGTGAAATTACAGGCACAGAAGACTTGTCAACTTATGTATGTCTCAGGGTGATGGGCGTAGTGGCAGTGCCCCTTAGATCTGTGTAATTTAAAGCTCTGAGTGTCACTGCAACTCCTTGCTTGCCCTTGCCCCCAATTGCTTCCGAAGCCCCTACCTACCCTAGCCTAGGACTCTTCAGCACCCACCGGGACCTACTGGTAGGGACCACTTTGGGAAACTATGTATTAAAGCTTACAATATATTAGCTATATGTATTTAACTATAAACCAATTAGTTGAATTTTTATTGAATTGATGTTTAATTATCTTTTATGTGAAATTACTCCACTAGTTTAGATTGAACACTCAGAAAATTGAAATTATTTATACCCTGTGCCTGTAATTTCAATTAGTTGAAATTACACGCACAGGGGACTTGTTGGCTTATGAGAGATCTGTATAATTTAAAGCTCTGAATGGCACTGCATCTGTTGTGGACAGGCTTGTCGATTACGATCAGGCGCACGACCTGTTTGTCCCGTCACTTGATATGATAAAAAATAATTCAGCGGTATAGGTATACTTATTTGTTACTTTTGAGCTAATTGTTTTTGCTATAGGTATTATCATTATCGTTATTAAATCAATGATATGTTCAACCTTCTCCTATTGTATTTAGTTACAATACTATTCGTTTAAATAACATATCTAAGCGTACAATAACATTATTTGTTAAAACATATTTGTGGTTATAAGGGGCTGGTAAGACTTTTCGACCTGGCTACATACAACATACCTATATTATAAACATATGGTTACTTGCATATTATGTTTAAATATACGGTAGTTCATACCCTAAACGATATAGTAGTTATGGCGAGTAGGTTCGTTCTCGTCATAACGTTTAAACAGTAATGCAGATTTTAGCAAAAGAAAGCTTCGCTCGGCACTTTCGAACGATACTCAACTACACCAGTTAAGCGCAGGAATGGTTTCACCGCCGACATTTTGTACCAGGCTAGATCGCGACCCGGGTGACCCGGGAACGCCCCGCGCCCTCTCCTCCCACACCTCCCACTGGGCGTGTCCCCCTAGACTAAGGAGTGTGTTGAGACGCCTGATATTTTCCTAGCAACGCCATTTCGACTTCAAGTTGTTCTTCCAACTATACACATAGAGATATATTGAACTATATTAGGCTATAGATACGTATGCTTGTATAGACGACGTAAACATTTTTGTACTTCTTCAGATGAGTAGGAACTAAAGTTCTCGAATCTAGAGTGTTCTTCTTATAGTTACTCATACAGTGCAAACGTTGGTCTATACCTGCATCTTATATTACTAAATTGATAATTAGAACAGATATTAATTTATATTATGAATAACAATTATAAGTAACGTTATGTGCTTTATACATCTACAGAACTAAGTGCCAGCATCAAACGAGAGAAAATTGTAGAGATCTGCGAAGGGTGTGGGCAGAAGATCCAAGACAGATACCTGATGAGGGTTGGTGAGCTCTCTTGGCACGAACACTGCCTCAGCTGTTGCGTTTGCGGATGTCCTCTGGCTCACACCTGTTACACTCGCAACGCCAAGCTTTACTGCAAGCCAGACTACGATAGGTAATTTCTAATTCGGAAAACGGATGCTTCTTATATGAATTAGTTACAATATAAAAAAAAATTGAAGTTTCCCTTTTCTTAAAAAATGTGCTGCAACCGGCCGGTTTTTAAATCTGAACAATGCGAAATGCTAGCGATATGCTAAGCGAGTTGCTGAGCGATTGTGTTTAATTATGCGTGTCAAATGTTGTCCTTATTTCGTAGATTGTTCGGGGTAAAGTGCACTAGATGCGGCGACCGACTTTTACCACAAGAAATGGTGATGAGAGCACAGCAATACGTCTTTCACATACAATGCTTTGTTTGCGTGATGTGTTGCCAGCCTTTGCAAAAAGGAGAACAATACGTAATCAGAGCAGGTCAAATATTCTGCCGACAGGACTTCGAGAAAGAAATGTACATCATGCAACACACTGAAGATGATATGATCATTGACGACTCTGATAGACCCCGCGACGGCAGACGCGGCCCAAAAAGACCGCGGACTATTCTCACTTCAGCTCAACGACGACAGTTCAAAGCATCCTTTGAAGTAAGCCCAAAACCTTGCCGTAAAGTACGAGAGGCTTTAGCCAAAGATACAGGTTTGAGTGTCCGAGTTGTCCAAGTTTGGTTCCAAAATCAGAGGGCAAAGATGAAAAAAATTCAACGTAAAGCGAAACAAGAAGGTGAAAAAAGTAACGACAAAGATAAGGAGAAAGACGAGAAGAGTATCAAACAGGAGTCTCCATCAAGTGAACATGGGAATTATCTGGGATTAGATGGATCTTATTCCGCTTCTAGTCAGCCACTCAACCCCAACTTGCCCTACTCGCCTGATGGTAAGCACTCTTAGAAATCCGCTAGGTTGCTTAATACTAAGAATCCGTAACACATTTTACTTCCTCAATGTGAACTGTAAGACGCTTAGAAACAAATATTTTTATACACTTGCAGGTAAATACTTATTTATTTCTCTTAAGTTGGTATGATACACTCAATGACCGGATAGGTATGTTTATTTCTATTAAGTTTCGTATTTCGTTTCACAGGACGCTTGCATTTTTCAGACTACCCAGCGCACTCGGGGGATAGTTTCTGCAGTTCTGACATATCACTGGACGGTAGCAACTTTGACCAACTCGACGAAGGGGCGTCGGATACGATGAGTTTGCAGAATTTGGAAGTTCAGCATCATTCACATCAACACGCGGCGCATTCGGCCCACGAACCTTTGAACCTTGGTACGGGGGCTGTTGTTAATCCCATAGATAAACTGTACCTAATGCAGAATTCGTATTTTAGTACAGATCATTGATCCACAATCAAACGTGGCTGTGGGAGACGGTCGAAGCTCGGACGAGTCCGACACCCAGCTGCGATGGACCTATGCATCAGGTCTACGTCGACAAGCATTAGCCATACTATGACTTACACTGACATCAATGGGCATATAAACTCTGTTGCTGACACTGCCCTCAATTTACACAATTTTTATGAGGAATGTCCACAATTTTAATCGTTTCCGGTTTCTCGAATATTTTAAGATATAGGGGAAATACGTACAAAATGACATATTTGGCATAATTTGAAATTGGTGGACTCTAGCACGCAACTGACAACTGCATCACATGACTCAAGTGGCTTTTACTAACCTGTCAAAACGTAAACTCACCTCTCTCATCCGTCTCAGAGTCGCTGAAGACTTTTTGTACGTTACGAGTTTTTTCTTTACGACAAGTGTTTTAATATAAATGATAAGTTTTTCGCTAATGTACGTATTGTTGTTGCATTATTTTATTCCACAATAGTTTGCTGTTGCCCTCAAATAAGATTTAAAAAAAGTCTTAATATTTGAATTTTCTTTTTTAAAACCGTTACATGGACAAAATAACATATATAAACAACGGACGGAAAAGACTGGTTACGATGCTTAAATTGTTCGCATAGGACTCACGCTTCTTGCCCTGATGTTCCTAGACGAACAAAGCGTTTTATTTGGAAACTTTGTCAATACCTAATTGTATAGTTTTCACTTGTATGTCATTTTGTCCAAACATAAAGATAATATGTCATCCTGTCCATTGTTTATGGACAAAATGGTTTTTGATTGATCTCAGTTAAACTACGAATATTTTTTTTGTTCTGTTGTTTTTATTCTGTAAATGTTTATTACTTTCAGTAAATAATGAATCAAAGACTATTGGTCTAAAATATCACAGTGCTGTGTATTAACACTAAAGAATTATGACTAAAAATAAAACCCTATGTCACTTTGTACGTATTTCCCCTAAGTCCTTCTATGCTGGAGCGATTACCAGAAAATTAAATGCCTGTAAAGTAATGTAGTCTTAAAACGGAATTATAAACAGATAAATACTTATATAATTTGAATAATATAGAATGTGCTAAATCAACGAGCAGGACATCACCCGTAGCGTTTCGTACTAAAACTAAGTAGATATTTTATTACAATGACGTAAATAATGTATAAACGTTTTATCAACAATAAATACCAATTGAGTGGACAGCCTTCATGCGTGTACCTCAACCAAAGTATAAGATTAAAAACTGTTTTTTTTTTCGTCGATATCAGCAAGTTCATTTTTTTATTTTATTAAAACTTCATTACAGTTTATTAAAGAAATGCAAACGAAAAATAAAAAGGAACCTACAATAGAATTTGTCGTCTAGAATTTGATACTAAAACTATAATTAAATAAATTAAATTGAGAGTTAATATATTAATTTAGTGAAATCTGTGAACCGGGTGCAAACATTTAAAAAAAGGTTTAGATTTTCTATTCATGTTATGAAAATATAATTTTTTGAAGACGTTCCAAAACACCTAAAGTTACCACCAATAGTTATATTTGGTGATTCGTCTGTAAATATGTAAATGTAGTGTATAGCCTACAATTTTTTATATAGGTACTATTGTACGGGTTCAATGTATTTTTTTTAAAGTGTTACTATGATACCATACATGACTAACTGTACAGTTGCCTTTATACTTGAATTGTAAAAATATTGATATACCGATGCCTTTGTTTTTGTTTGGTATTACAGAAGTTAAACGTACTGATTAAGTATAATAGGTACTTAGAGTAAAACCATGACTTCTAACAAAGACAACCAAAGATATTTGTAATTATGGTAATTCACTTCACTTGAATTTTGAGGGTGACAACTGTAATAATAATTGAGGCTACAGCCTCAAACTAATAAGAGATAACAAGAGTTCAAATCATGCCCACTAAAACCGGCTGTCGTGAGCGGTTATACAATGTGAATAGTCTGGGCGAGATTTTATACAACAAAAATGGACACAGTTTTAATGGCAGCATCCTTACGTGTAACAAAAGAACTATAATGGTTGCGTTAGGAACGCGCGGGCCGTAGGTCTGAAATCAGCTTGTCTAATTAGCGACACACTCACAGACAGCGTTAGACAGTGTGTCCATAGAAAAAGTGGTGTAAATGATGCTATTTTCATGTAGGTATATAGGAAAATTGAATACTTAAATATTTTTATACATGAAAATAGCATCCAAATATAAAATAAGTATGTATTTTAGTATCACTGTAGTAATATTGTAGAAAAAAAAGTAAAACGTGGGTTACACCATTTTTGCGCTGATAGCCTCAATTATTAATAGCTAAGGGATGCCACTTTCATATATCATTTATGGATGCCGCTTGAAGTCGTCGCAACTTTATCGATTTGATTAAAGTTATCCCATGTTTACCGTGCTATTGTACGACCATCGATCGTCATAGGTGAAAATGTGTCGATCCATCCAGCCAGTCGTGAACCAAAAAATAACAAATTGGTGATATTTATAGTGAACAAAAAATACTATAAAGCTTACATTATAATTAATTTCATGTGCTCTTAGGACATGTAAAAATTCTAGTAATTTCCTTTTCCTAACTGCCAAAAATAGCTATATTATACATACGTATAGTTAGCAATTATACTTTCTAAATGATGTGCAAGTGTAGGATGTATTCTTCTTATTATTAATGTAAATAATTAAAACTTTCTAGTCAAACTGGGTGTGAATTTTCGTATATTTTTCAGCGGAGTACCTACGTTAGATATGTGAGCATTATAAATAGTATTAGAAGATGCAAGACATTATAGAAGTGTAAATTATAACAAAGAGGTGTTTCATTTATTGCCAACCATCATTTCGCAATCAGTTGTGCGTTATCTCTCTGTGCAGAATACTTACGTGATTCTTACCAATGTATTAACAACGTAAGCAATGCCAGAAAGTAGTGAATAATGGTGATGTGTAGTAATCATAGTATAATTATTTGTATAGTGGGATATAATGACGTGTTAAAGATTAAAGTATGTTCTAAAGTTATTCACTTTAAAATAAAATGTAGTCTTTTTAGTTCAACATAAGATCAGAAACTTTTTTAAATAAAATCTTAATTAAAGCTTCTAAAACTTTCGGATTTGTTCATTTGAAATAAAGCATGGATAGGTACAGTTAAAATTCGTGTCTATTTTCTCAATGTCTCTCAGCAACCATCGGATATCCGAATGCACACGAATATATATAATTTCCATTCCCATTAATTATTAGATTTGAATTTTGAACAACGTACTTTATTGTTGTTTTGTTTTGATTTCCGTTTGAACTATATAGGAGCTGTAAAACTATTTAAAATAAAGTGTGCCTCTTTTATATAGCTAAAAATGAATGTTTTTCCGGATATTAATCATTTCAATTCAATCCGTATCTGGGGGTCTACTCTCGATCTCCGTCCGAAAAAATTATTGTCAAATAAGTAATATTCGACAAAATTAAAAGACAAGTATCCAGTATGAAGCTTCATTCGCATCACGCGTCTTTACATTTGGTCAAGTATTGCTTATTTGGCAGTAATTGTTTCGGACGGATGTCGGACGGAGATCGAGAGTAGACCCCTGAACGCATTTTTTCATCTGACATAGCTATGTTAGTATATTAGGCATAGATGTAATAATACCATACCACCACCACCATGTATCTTTTATGGCGAATATCATGCTTTTCCCTTAGGACAGCCATTTGCTTTCTGTTTTCTTATATCGAAAACTCAAATCCTTCAAAATTTTTGTTAATGTGTCCATATAGCCTACAAATTTAACTGCCTCAACCAACTTCGCTTTTAAAGTTCTCAAACAAGGTAGTTTCTTACAGCGTAAATGAAAATCATAAATCATGTGACGCACGACACAATAGTTGAATAGTCTAAATTTAAACGAAACATATTATTGTTCTTTCGTACCTTTTTAGGTGATTGAAAAGGAACTAATTTATCTTTTTTATCATATTATTCTTTAAAATAGTCTTTACTGTTCCGATTGAAACACCACAAGCTACAGAAACACATTTTTTAGACTTTTTGAAAATAACCATTGTTGTCTTTCTTGATCTTATCGCCTTCATGTAAAAAATACATGCTGTAAATTATCTGTCGTGCCTATGCCTTTAGCGGCTTTTCTTCCCTTGCATAATAAATAAAAAATTTAGTAGCTACACTATACATATACTTCCAAGTCGACAGTAAACGTCCAGTCAGAACCGAAGGCAAAGGGCAACTGAATAAAACCCGACGACAACGGCAGGTGAAACACGAAGTTTGCCGAGGGACATTGAGAAAAGAGAAGCACTGTTAGGCTCAACTAACACTGGCGCAGAATCGAAGTGTCGCGACGCATTATGTTTTTCGCTATATAGCATATTCATCTCTATTTCCCATTATTAAGTTACAAATTTGTGATATGCAAATATGGAGTCATGCGTCGACGCTTGGTTGCAGCCGAGCGGCTTCGCGCGTCGACGCGCGTCACTTGAGCGCAGTGAGGCATCAGACGCTGACCACACTGTGATCCGGACGCACTAATGCGAGCGTCGACGCGCGTCGCCAGGCGTTGTAGTTGAAAAACAGGACGCTACGCGACGCTTCGACTCTGCGCTAGTGTGAGTTGAGCCTAAGTAAATGTGAACGAATTACGATGAGAGTGTTTTAGACACTACTTGTGATTGAAAATGAATACTTTCTGTTAGTAGCAAAACGAACAACACAGTGGTTGAAATCAGTCTCCAAGAAGTTATCTACAAAAAATGATGTAATTATTGAGCGATACGTCCGCAGAATCGTCCACTGTCGAAATCAGTAACTTAGTAAGGCTCAACTCACACTGTTGCAGAGTCGAAGCGTTTCGTCCTGTTTTTCAACTACAAAAAGGCGAAAACGACGCGCGATTTTCCGTATTTGCATAACACATATTTTTACCTTAATATTGGGAAAATAGAGATGAATATGCTATAGGCGAGGAATAAGACGCGTCGTGACGCTTCGACTTTACGCCAGTATGAGTTGAGCCTTAGACCGCCATGTCAAATTTGCAAAGTAGTTTTACTGGCTAACGTATCGCATCCGGCATCATTTTTTTATTTCAAGACTGAGAGTCGTATTCCAGAACTCTACTCAATGCTCAAGTCAGGATTTGAGCAGACTTGAGTATGATTTCAAGCGCTGGAAATACGACCCTAACAACAAGGACTTGTGTATGATTTGTAGTGCTTTGAATATCTATCATACTCAAGTCCTGACTTGACATTGAGTAGAGTTCCAGAATACGACCCTTAGTCTAGCTATCTAATTGCATCCAGAATAAGTCACGAATTACTCCTTCTTTTTACCATAATTAACCTAAGATAAGTTACGTAGAAAAGTTATAACATAGTGAAGAAATAGTTGTTGTTCTCTGCAATATAGCTGATGTGTACCAGTCAAGCTGAAGTGTGTGAGGATAGAGTTAAGATATAAAAATTAAGATATTTTTGGGGAATTTATCGCTCCCCTAACGAAAAATAAAACGGCCTCGTGAACTTCGTGAATGACGATATGATTATAATGTTTCGTGGTTTTTACACATTGACTTACAATTTTTT